ACTCTTTCCTTGCAATGAACCTTGCTTCTCTCCATGAGCTATATGGGTTTTTATCGTATTTGGTTCAGTTTTGTTTATGTTTGGATTCAGTTTTCATTTTCATGGATACAAATCTTTATATAAAAAATGATTTTTTATTTAGCTTTATGTTTGGTCATAGGGTGAAACCTGTAAAAATTAAACTTGTAAAATGGTGAATTAATTTGCAAAATGTGTCATTATGATTAAACCAAAAAAAAATTGTTAATTGATTGTAGAAAAAATCTCGACGATCTTATCAAAAAATAAATTTGTAAATTATAATTATAAATTTTAAAGTTTAAAATAAATTTGTCGAATGACAAATTTAGAAATTAATTTTTTTTTTTTATCATTTTACAAGTATACAAATTTTTATAGGTCATATGTTAGAATCAAAGAATTAACAAGATTAGGTCAAAAATTAAAAGTTAACAAGATTTATTTAGTTGAACTGAAGGGGTACAATATAAAATAAAAATACCTTTTTAATTATTAACCATAGACTCAAAACTTGAAAGCAAAAAAAAAAAAAAAAACCCAAGAACCATATATCATAACACCAAAAAGAGGACTCCGGTATCAAAGATTCCGATATGATGCAGCAGCAGCAGCAAATATATGAAACTCAAAACCAACAGAGAAGGAAGCATATTAGGTTTTCATTTCAATTATTCTTGGGGACCCCAAGCCTCAATCTGAAATCTTCTTCCATGAGAGGAAGCCCTTCCCGGAGCTTCACCTTCGGTTCCCAACCCAACACTTGTTTCGCCTTTGTTATGTCCGGCTTCCTCTGCTTCGGATCGTCCGGCGTGTTCTCCACCGTCTTTATCTCTATGCCCGGATTTATCAGCTGCGTTCCCATTTAAACAACAACAGAAACCACCATTGTTACCGGGACATAGACAAAGAACGAGCAACAACCCTATTTCATTGCCGAGTTCACTCACCTCTTTCACCGTCTCGGCCAGTTCCAGCATGGTGAATTCGCCTGATGAAACCGAAAATATCATCCAACGCGGGTTTAAGTCACGAGATTGGATCCGTGTTTAGATTTTGTCAAGGGGGGAGTGTATGAAATGTGTTTGAAATTCTGACCTGGGTTACCGATGTTGATGGGGCCAGTATCTTCGCCTTCCATGAGACGGACAAGACCATCAACCTTTGGGTTTTTTTCAGACAAAACAGAGCTTTAGTGTATGTATCTCAGACAAAAGGGTTTTAGTTTTGATAGAAGGATGGCAAGCAATGAGAATAAGCATATACCATGTCAGAAACAAAACAGAAACTGCGAGTCTGTGTCCCTGGCTTCTGAACAGTCAAAGGCTCGCCCCTACGTCCAAGAACAAGACAGCGATTAGTTTAAAACCCTTTGGTGTTAAAACAAGAAGAACAAAAAAAGGCCAACTTTGGGGTGAATGAAGTGATGAACTTCACCTGAGCGCTTGAGCAATGAAGTTGCTGACCACACGCCCGTCATCGATGTTCATACGAGGGCCATATGTGTTGAAGATTCTAGCAATGCGGATCTCTGAGACAGAGGAAAACAAGAGATCAATAAGAAATCTTGATGAAATTTACGGAGAATATGACATAACGAGGGGAATATTAGAACGTGACTGACCGATTCCATGCTGCCTGTGGTAATCAAACATCAAGGTCTCAGCCACACGCTTCCCTTCATCGTAGCAGCTTCTAACACCTATGGCATGAATTAACGTTTTTTTGTATCGAGATTACATAATAGGGCAAACCCACGACGGGAAGATATTGGAGTATAAGTGTATGAACATACCAATCGGGTTGACGTTGCCCCAGTAGCTCTCGGGCTGAGGGTGGATGAGAGGATCTCCATACACCTCTGAGGTTGAGGTGAGCAAAATCCTGTTTAGAGAACAGAACTCTCTTTTAAGTCATAGAGCCAAGCAGAAGGCAAAACATGTATCAGGGAACAAAGATTTGAAAGAGTCCTCAGACCTTGCTCCGACACGCTTAGCAAGACCTAGCATGTTCAGTGTTCCAATCACATTTGTCTTGATTGTCTGAAACCGTGACAAGTCATCGGAGTTAGATCAAATCTGAAAACAGATTTCAGACATATCTGACCAGACAATCTAGAGAACATCATCGTCATGTACCTTCACCGGGTTGTACTTGTAGAAGATGGGAGAAGCAGGACATGCAAGGTGGTAAATCTGGTCAACCTCGATCAACAAAGGCTCGGTGACATCTATTAAAGCCGGAAAGAAATCAAACTGACGTAGAGGGAAAACCAGAATGATGGCATACGAGGTAACGAGTAAACAGTTTCAAGGAGCATACCATGTCGAATAAGCTCAAATCTTGGATGGCCAATCCACTTTTTGAGGTTGTCCTTTGATCCAGTGAAATAGTTATCAGCAACAATTACCTGGAAAAAGAAACAAGTTTCCGCCATTAGCAAACACGGAGAATTATTAAAAACATCTCAGACATCTCAATTCATGGCATCTATTGAAGATAAAGACCTCGTTTTTCTCATTCTCCATCAGCTTATCAACCAGGTGAGATCCAATGAATCCAGCTCCTCCAGTAACCAAGATCCTCATATTGGACTGCATGAATAAGAAGAGTGGAATTGCATCAAGGCCAGGTTCCATACATCAGTTTCCTGAATCTCGAATGCCTTCACGGCTTAATAGTCTAAAACACGGACAAATCTGTCTTCCAATTGACTAGCAAGATGTGGATCCAAGTGTAATTTCAAGATCTGATCCTCTATGGTTTAAATGGGTGAATTAGGATATGATGCCATTTCATACGACGTGGTTTGATTTCTGACAGACCCTTCATGTAAGATCATGAAATCCATCAGAACTAAATGCAATGGCACACGGCAAATCTCATTCACGGTTTCATCAAACAAAGAGAACAAAAAATGCCAAATCACACGCGGGAAAGTGAGATCCGAGGCATGAACAGTCACGATCACATATAAATCGCAAAAGGGTATCACCAGAATGGGTAAAAATCTCTAATTTACGTCGAATCTGCACAAAAAAATGAGGAAAATCACCTGAAAGAACTTGGAATTGCGCAGAGGAGAAGGAGTGGGCGGAGGCTTTGTGCTGCTCTGTCCGTTTGTCGCCATTGTTGAGATCTAATCCTGGATTTTCCAAACAGGCATCAATCAATTCAAACTCTAAAAACAATTTTCCAAAAACAAAAACGCGATTATTGTCGGATTAAAGACCAGGAAATGAAGAATGAAAATTTCGATCGGAGGGAAGGGGGGGATAAGGGAATTTACGAGAGAGCAAGAACCTAAGAAGCTCGACAGAACAGACGCTTCAAACCCTAAAGCAAATCTGCTGATCTGATGAGGAGTGGGAGGAGGCAGAGGTTGTGTACTTATACCCGCAAGTGTCGGAACAAACACCTCTATCAAATGCAAATATCGAAAATTCAATTAAATGAGAGAAAAAAAAAATCATAATTTCCTGAATATATATATATATATATACTAACAGAGAGGAGACGTCAAAGACACGAAAAAACGGGAAACCATTTGATGATGATATTAGGTGCTTGATCACGACAACGTTGGATGAGTTTCTTTGTGCACAATTAAGATGTCCAACACAGACCAGACGCAAATCTGACGTGGCCAATTTTTTATAATTATCAAGAAGATTTTTTTCCCTTTTTTTTAATCATTTTATATATTTTTAACTTTTTTTTATCGTCTTGAAATGCATGTTTAGTGCTGGATTACCAAATTATACGCATCTGAAAACATATTGTTTAGATTTTACCAAAAAAAATATTGTTTTTATAGATAGGGGTTTTCTAGAATATGATTGGATATTTTTTCGAAATTTCGGATAAAACAGAAATTATTTAAAGTGATATGCTTAAATATAGATCCATACGGATAAACACTAAACGCAAGTATTAGATAGTATCAGACGAAATCATATAACATTTTTTGTATGCAGATTTCCAGAGTTTTTGAAAGAAAATAATATTTTCCCTTTTAAACAATTTATGTATTAGAAATCGTTAACTCACTTAAACACGAGATTTTTATGAGCTAAATAAATATTAATTAATAGATATCTTGAACTCAAATCAACCCTCAATCCGACACATCGGGCTAGTTAGGTAACAGAACACCTATTTTCCTTTTTTTTTTCATTTTTTTTGTCAAATACCATCGTCAAGCTATTGAACAAATATTATAAATATTTTTTTTTTAATTTCATTAGAAACTCTTCAGGTCGTAAAAGAAAATAAAAAGTAATATTAGAATCAGCATTTTTCAATTTTATAAATTTATTTATGTACATGTAATATACATAATTTCCCAGCTTGTTAGACCTAGTGGATTACTATGCTGCCATATCTGTCTTTTTGGCATATTAGAAGAAAATCTTGCGGGTGTAAGAAAAAGCATCACGCCTGTGTCTAACAAAAGTGCATATACTGTTTGGCATATTTGAACCCAAAATTGGTAATTCGCAGCCAATTTAACCAAAAGAAATACGGGCTTCTCGTTGCCCTTTATAGTTTATACCTCGAAAGCAATGAAATCACTTTGCATCACAAGAAAAATATATGGGAGTAATATTTTATTTGGAACTTGGAAGGAACAAGTGCGTTACTCTCTTGTACGCAAATAATCTCGTGAAAAATGATGATACTGAAACAGAGACGAACAAATTACGTGACCAAACAAATCGTCCCGCCACTTGTCCAACTTACCACACTATACATCAATGGACCACAAATCTCTTACCTTACAAACTCGCTTGAAGACGAGATTATTACAAGTAACCGCAAACGCAGCCGCAAACGCAATCGCAGCGTGACGGAAACAAGAGCGGTGCCAATATCATATAGATATATACACACAATCTATCCTCGTGAATGCAATGCAACAAAAGTCGTTTATTATTCAGACTATTGTTCTACATACCGTACGTGATGATCTGACAATTAGATCGGGGGCGAGCACATTTTTTAGAATACTACCAACGATATCCATGACGAGATGATATACATGTTCATATAATAATGTACACAGACAGAACAGAAGGATGATGATGATCATGAAGGTGTTATTACCTCATGATGGAAGCTCAAAATGGACGGGTCTCGGGGTCGATAATTCCAGCAATGAGTGCGCCAAAGAGCCATAACATGAGCAGCAACATTACTGCTGTTCTCAGAACCTGGTTACATATGTTCATGTCTGGACCGTCCTCCACTGCTAAATCCGGTATCTCGAGATTGTAATTGCTGCTCCTCCATTCCCCGGCCTCGATTCTTCCTGCTTCTCTCTTGCTTCTCCCGTCTGAATCCGAGTTTTGATTGCGGGGATTTGAACATCTCTTGCAGTTGCAGTCGCCTCCGAGGTATGAAGGAAGTGTCTGGATATACTCGCAGAGGATTCTCTGGAACATTTCTCCCTCGATTCTCAACTTCTTTCGTGTGTTTGGTCTGAGAATCTGAGAAGCAATAACAGAAAGTTTCAAATATCCGACAGTCAACCCCTTGTAGATACTATATATTTTGGAAGAAAAAAAATCGAAACTTCAGGTTTAAACTCGGGTTTGGTTACCCACAGATACTCAAAAGTTATCACGAGTATATGACCTTTGGTACCTGATCAAAACGGATACAAGATCAGACAATACCTTGTGAGACCCGAGGACCAAGATGTTCGAATTTGGATTCGAATAACCCAAAAATCTCGGATATCCTACCCTAGATTTCAACACGATGACTAAGAAAACCTATTATAGCTAAGCTGGGCTTGAAACTTTACTTGGGTGAAAGTCTGAGTGATGACGCGGACAACAGGAGGAAGGCGTATGACAAATAAGCAGCCGAGGCGATTGGGGAAATGGTCTTGGAGAAGAGAAGAACATGTTCTCATCATTTGCATTGGAATCCTCAGAGGAGATAATCCTTCACAATCCACCAAAACCATAAGCTCCGGATTTTCAGGCTTTATCAGATGCAGAACACCATGCTCTACCTGAGATACTGAAACACATAAAACTCTATTAAAATCCATACCTTTTACTATCAAATAAAAGATTAAAGAACCTGGTGGGTATTGTACGTACTGATTGCCTGAGAGAAACGAGGTCTTTCATGAGACGGTAGCTTTAAGCAAGCAAGCCCAAGACGGACTATGAGGCATGGCCGGTTGCTCCGATCATATCCATGCCAAAAGACTAAACTTGACCATGCTTCAAGTTCTTCTTCAGAAAGGATTCTGTATGTCTCCCTCCAACGGATTGTCTTTTTTATTGAAGATACTAAACAAGCAAAGTCTCCATTTGAGACTCTATAGAATTTGTGAAGCTCGTTCTCGTCAAGTCTGCAATTAATCTGGAAGGTTATGATTTGAAGCATGGAATCAAGGAAATAACCAGTTCTTCATACGACTACAAATTCTCAGCACCTTTCTGGTAAGCTTATTTGCTGCTTTTCCAATTCTTCATAGAGTCGTTTTAACCAGTCTTCTGATATCACTGGTTGTAGAGATTCATCTTCGATCCTGCAATTACCTAAACATATTAAGATATCTAATAGAAAGTACACTCAAAATATGTTGCACAGTAAGAATATGTATGTAGCTTCAAAAGCACCAATGAATTCGCATCACATCGGAGTTCTTCAACTTAAAGTTGTACAGTCATCTCACATGTAATAAAAGTAAGGAAAATAACCCACCGGGGATAGAAGAAAACAAAAGGCATTACAGTACAATATCAAAGAAAGTATTTGGCATTCCATACCTTGTATCTGACGGAGACTGTGAGGTGTTTGGAGCAGAATGTGACTCTGGATACGTATGAGAAGGAGTGATACTATCTGAAGCTTCACTCTTTCTCTCAGACTGCTCAGTGAAAGCTTCTGCAATTGTTAGGACTAATAATGGTCTGGAGAGTGTCTGCAGAGATGATTGCAAGTGTTATACGAATGTTATAACAACCATACGCATTGCAAGTGCCCAAGTTTCTCGCATGAGTAAACCTGCATGATCCATCAACATTTACGAAGAAAGAGTGAATGCCACGAAAGATCATGAAAGCATACCTGCATCGCATTGATCAACCCCTTGAAGGGAGCCCATCTCTGAATCCACTTAAGAGGAGGATAGCATAGGCATTGCAGTGCCTGAATACTGTTCCAAATAAATGGACATTTGGCCCTCGAAATTCTTCGAACGGCTTCCAAAGCAGCAATTTTGAGCAAAAACACGGCAGCATTCCATGCAATGCCGTTGCCAACTTTTCCACCATTCACTGACAAAATTTGCTTGTAAATCGTCTGCTGAAAAGCTCTCGGAATAGCAGCGACTAAGTTTTTCTTCGGAAGCTCCTTCCGGGAGGAAACACCAGCTGCTACAGAGTTTCTACTTCTAGCAGAATTGTGCAACGGATCTCCCATTGAAGCGATTCGAGGCGTCTGTGATGAGTAATACTACCACTAACAGATTTCACATGAAGAATTTGATACAAGAGGATTACGGACGACCAAATCGGAAACACGATCTCATGTCGAACAACAACAATGAACAATCTGCAAACAGAATTACAATCAAATGTTCACTACTCGGCTAGGATAAGGAATGATACTCAGGCATAAGTTGCACAAGGAAAACGCATTGCCATAATCCAATACCTACTTCATCCAAACCAAAATATCAGACAGGGAATCGCACTCGCCCGGATAAAATATCTCATGCCTTATAATCAATCCCCAAAAAACGAAATGGACGGCAACAAAATTAAACAAAAGCCAACCGAAAATCTCCTTCAATACCAGAAAAAGCTCTCCCGATCCGTTTCTTCCCCCGCGAACAGATCGGAGAACAGATCAGATGATTTGTCGGAGCAGTGTAAAGGTCGGAAACCGATACGTAAATCGAATTTCCGATCGAGAGACCCAATCTTCCATGAAGTTTTTGTCCAGAAGGGTTACGAAATTTCGAAACAGAAATGGAAACAAGAACACGGAGCGGGACCCAACACGCAACATTTGGTGCGACACGCGTACGATCCTGAATCGCTGATAAAGACTGATGTTAAATCAACGGTCCAGGATTGACACCTTCCACTGACCCACAGAGGAAGCGAAAATCGTGTTGTTTATCGTATAGATAGCAGCGCCGTTCGCCGTTTCTAAATGAATATTCCGGCGTGATTTTTTACGAGAACCGGCTCACCCGGCGCGCGATCGAGAAACGCCTATTACGTTGACAATGAGGCCCCCAACAAGGGCCCAGGAGAAAATATTTGGTATTGCCCAAGGAACTGAGACGACGCACAGTTCAAGAGTCTACAGCTGAAACGGCAGTAAACAACATAAATCACATGAACAAAAAACAATTCCTTGATGAGAATCATGAGATGGTTCTTGAGAAAAAACAAAGCTTTTCACCCAGGAAGCCGCTTATGACAACATCTCTGAAGTTTGGTTTCTAAAGAACAACATTTGTACACCACACTGGTATTGGGATGGGATTGCTGTGTTTTGGAATGATGATGGACTGTTTGAAGGGGGTTTATTTTCATACAGGACAAATGAACTTGGAACTCCCGAGAACTTGGAACCCGGAAGTGAAGAAGCCTCGGTGATCATAGCATTTCTTGAGATTTTCTGATACATCGTCTGATTTTCTTCTTGAACTCGTCTCTCTGGTCTCTCCATTCTATCTGCAAAGTCAAAGGAAGAAGAAGAAGAAGACCGACCCATTAACGAGCAAGTTCAACTGATGGCAGAAACATACTGGAAATTTATGGCAACTGTATTCACATTCAGAGGCAGTTAAAACTGATAAGATCAAGGGATAAAGATTAAAGAGAATTCCATAGAGCTAATGAATACTCACAGCAGCTTCAAGGTTTGCCGGAGATTCATCGTTAGGACTGGAGAGCATTGATATGATGCTTAGGACAATACTCTCAACCTGAAACAGCACAGTTTCATGTTGTGAACATGAGCAAAAACGAAACAATGTAACCCTTGATATGTAGAGTGCTCGTAGAGTAAATAAATCTGAATTCAGAAAAACATATAATGATTAATCAAGTCCTATGTTTCTATATGATGAAAAGCCAAGAGATTCACCGAGAGAATATCCCGTTATTAGCGGTCACATACCGTGTGGACAGGCATCCATCGCTCGCCTGCAAGCTCGTATCCGCTTGGATCCTCACCGGGAGGATTGAGAATAGATATGCAAACAAGCCCATCTGTGTAAACTGCACGAATGAAGGAAACATTTTCAAAACCTTGGCAATTCAAAAAAAGAAAACACAAAGGAGAGCATTTTCTAGTTGTATTCCTATCCAAGGTCCAAGAGAATGGACAAACCATTAGGATGCCAAATCTCCGAGGTAAACCTCATGGTCGGCGGGTAAATGGGGTAGTTTTGCGGGAAGGTCATTATGGCACTGAAGAATCCCCCTTCACTGAGTTTCGGAAATGATAACACTATTAGTGATGAACAAAAACATCAAGATTATGCCGACTGCACGTGGAGGCATAGCCAAGTGGATATGAATATCTAAGTGAGCACATAACTGGAGAAAAGATACATAACCTATAGAGAAACACAAGGTCACAAGCCAAGAATCTGGTGAAACAAGAAATTCTATAACCACACAACCCTACTCATCGAATCTCATTAACATCAGAAATGGGATAACTTGGCATCATCATCATTCATTGAGCCAAATGCTCTCGTTCGGCAAATCAACGGAATTTCGGCGGAAAATCACCATATCCAACTCATCCAACATGAATCATCTAATTCGGAGGAAATCAAGGACATCTGGGATCAACGAGAATCAGGGGAACATACTAGAGTGTGTCAGGAGGTCCGATAATCTTGACGCTCCACTCGAATATATTGTTCTCGTCAACCAACCCAGCAGAAAACCCCTCAACCGGATTCTTACAAAGATCTGAAACAAGACCCAGAGACGACAAAATCCAATCAAAACTCGAAAAGCCCATCTCCAAAGAACATGAACCGAACAGATTTGTCGCAAGAAATGAGGGTTTTGTGTACCTTTGAGCTGCTTCTGAAGAAGAAGGCTCGCTTGGGAAGCCATGGCGGATGATGAGGAATTCTGCTGAAGCTTCCAGTGATCTCAGAGAGAGAGAGAGAGAGAAGGAGAGAAGGAAACAGAGAGGACGATAATGGAGGTTATATAGATAGAGGGTTCTGAAGATCGGAGTGGGTTTTCGGGTATCAGGGTGGATCATCAAGAATCAAGATCAAGGGAACACATGGAAAGCTCCGATCTACTACGGACGTGTCCTAGCTGCTTTACTACTCCCACCAATAGCGTCTCGAGCCGTCGGCCTAACTCAGCCGACCGAACTAATCCGACTAACGTCTCTCTATCTCTATACAACTTGCTTAAACCCTTGTTGAAATGACTATTCTACCCCTAAATCTAATGAGAAAACGATGCCATTTTTTTCATCTCCCCGAAACCTTTGAGACCTTCTACCTCGCGTCGAGGCTTCCCATGTTCGTGGGTTCGATGCATTACAGTTACGGGGCCGATCGCTTCACAGCATCGGCTAGTGACACGTGGAGCGGTTGCGGCCCATTATTGCATTTCCAGAAAGCCCAAAATGAAAGAGTATGGGCTTACATAGGCCCAAATATATACGATAAAGATATGGTTTAGGCACTGGATCAAACACGTACGGAAATGTGGGATGGATATACATACAATGCATGGTCATAGAACAGATCCATAAGATAGATTCATGCTATTGACACATTTTTTTAAAAATTTTTTATTTTCCTTTTTATAACTCTGCACTCTCTCTTTTTTCATGAAAAATTCGGAATTTCCACTTTCTCAACCTTTTTTATTTTTTGGCATCTAATTTTAAATACTTTTTTCTGGGAAAAAAAACTTTTTTCTTTATTACAAGCTAAGAATAATATTTATCCTTTGAAGGCGTGTAAGGTAAAAAGGTCACAACACCAAAGCCCTAGATTCCGGTTTGTGTGTCTTCCAAACAATATATGAATACATGGGCATTTGTAGATATATGTATAGAACATCTTCAATAATTGTGTAAAATTTAAATTATCATGAAAATAGTAAATTTTACCTGTAAACTGATTACGAGACATCAATCAATACTCATAGGGTATAACGTGGGTTTTTTTTTTAACGTTGCTACTGTAAATATAGTAATTATTATCTTGTAACTTGAAAAAAAAAAAACTGCTTGGGTTAAGATTAAAATCCAAATTCTGGATACGGCTAGATTCAAATTAAGGAGCGAAATTTAAAATTTTTTTATTACCAAAATATTGGATGCACCTTACATTATTTTCAAAACAATTTTCTTAGAAAGGCATATTTAATTCCACGTCATCAATCAGCCACCATCTCTCGTATTTAAAATCCATGTTGAAAGGTACTATTAATCCGATTCACTTAAAAAGGCATTAACTGATAAAATTGCTTGCGAACACAAACTAAATAAACACAAATTAAAATCACAAAACTAAATAAAAAAAAATTAAAATGCAGAAATGGGTTTGCCCAATTTTATGTTTTTTTTTTTTCAAATATACTCCAATTTTCAAAATGTAAAGTAGGAAATATAAAAAACCGTTGGCCCTCTTGTGCCAATATTTGAAGGAATCTTCAACTTGTGAACCTAAATTGCAGTGAAAGAGAAGTTTATCTCTCCACAACAAGAAGAGAGAGAGAAAAAATTCAAAAAAAAGACAAGTTTCTTTCTTTTTGTCTCTTCCCTACTCCCATCTAAGGCAAATTTCCATCTTTTCTCCACAAGCGGTTTTGAAATTGCTTGTCAAAATCCCCCTTTTTCAAAAAAAAAAAATTTACATATCGGGTTCTCTCAAGCATTCAAAAGGGTATCCAAATCCTGCGTCTTTTCTGCGATTTCACGAGGGGTTTCATAATTTGGGTGAATTAGGGTTATGTGTTCATGTGATGTGAGGGAGAGGAATCTGGAGAAAGATGAAGACTGTTAGTGAGTTAGGTATTGGGTTGAGCTTGGTGTTTGGTTGCCTTCTATTAGCACTTGTTGCAGAGGTCTACTACCTTTTCAGATGGAAGAAGAACAAGAAGAGCAAGAGAATCATGAGCCAAGAGAGTGAAGAAGAGAAAGAAGAAGAGCACAACAATGGATACGCAAAGGATCTCATTCAGCTGTTCTGCTTCAAAAAGCCGCAGTCTTTACACCCCAACAATGGCGGCGGAGGAGAAACAGTGGGAAACCCGGATGGGGATTTCAGCGAAACACAGGATTTAGAGCTTGGACTGATGAAACACTTGGGTGGAGACGCAGGGTTTGAGGCAGAATTCATGAAGCTTCACAACCAGAGGTTCCTTTTCACGATCAAAGAAGAGACCAAGGAAGATATGGAGTCTGCTGACGGAAAATCAAGGAAAGGGTCAAGGTCAAGAACTAGGAGCCTGAGCGATCTTCCCTTGGGAGTAAGCGAATGTAATACGCCTCGATTCTTCACCCCTTTGGCATCTCCGACAATGAAGTCATCCCCCTCGCCTTTGGAGTCATACCCAAACCATGGATTCAACCCTCTCTTTGAATCAGAAGGCGAGCTCGAGTTCAACAGGTTCTTCAGGCCATCGTCCTCACCTCCACCGAAATTCAAGTTCTTGAGAGATGCGGAGGAGAAGCTGAGGAGGAGATTGATGGAGGAAGCAAAAGAGGAGATTGGTGGGTCAGTCTCAGCATCTCCAAAACCAGAGTCTCTGATTGTGACAGAGGGCTCTTTCCTCAAATTCATGAACTCTGCTATGAACAGGGAAGAACAGAATCTCCAAGAATCTCATGAAACAACGTCATCATCTTCTTTACAGGTACAAATCTTAGAACACTAGAACGGAAGACCACTGGTCGTTCAGTTTACATTTCTTCTTCTTCTTCTTCTTTTCGGCTTTTTTCTCAAAGAATCTCAACTAATGAGAAGGGTTTGTCTAAATTCTTTTTATTTCTCATGCTTGTTCATTGAGAATGATTTCCTTTCTTTATTAATCTAGAAAGCTGCAGAATCTCACCGTAATTACTTCATACATATATATACATATATATATGTATGAGTCCGAGGATGTAAAAACATGGATGGAAAAAAATAAACTGGTATATAAAAATTTAACTGAATTTTTTTATTCATTTATATAATTCCTTGTGTATCTCGTTCAACACTTAGTCTCAATATAGACTAACAAGTTTTAAGGGAAAATATTGACACTAGAATTTCATGAAACATTTAATCATGATTATAATCTTTTAGCGCACCATAAGCGTAATTAAATAGTGCTTAAAGCCAAATCACGCGCAAATTATGGCACATCAGAGAGGAGATTAGGAAACGCATAGTGCGCACTTTAAGGTGGGTTTAGTTGTTAATTACCGTGTTTTCGTTTTCCAAGGCATGTGGCGTAGGAGTTGTAAAAGCACACAACTTTCTTAGGTTTTCAAAATCAAAATCGTTGAATTCATTAATTTAATTTAGCGACTTAATTTCCAAAAATATCGTGTTAGACCGTTTTTTTCTTTTTTAAAAATGCATGTAATTCTTTTAAAATAAAATTATTGTTCATTTTTTTTAAAAAAAAAAAACTATATGGCTGCTACACTGCTGTTAGCATGAGAAAAAAAAATTAAAATGCCAAAGATTTTTGGCAAACTTTTTTCCCTATAGAGTAATGATTCTGATATTGTTATAACAAGCACATCCGTGTAATTTGAATATCTGAATTTTGTATATATATATATATTTTGGATTGGATAAGATAATGATTTTGTGAGCTCTCTAATTGTTGTTTGCCCTAAGCAACAAGAAAATTGAAGAAATCACGCGATAACGCCGAAAGCTTTGGTGCTCATGTCACTTTTCACCCTTTTCCTTTTGATGCCTGTTTTCCTACCCTCCTCGCTAACTTTACAAACGATGCACACACACATATAGTATAATAGCACCATCCTCATGCATACGTATATATACACGTACAAATACGCGTATATGTATGCGTATGTGTTTTGAGATACGTAGTAGAAGAAAACGTATATGTAGGTGTAGGTGGTGGAGGATAGGGTGTGTAAGGTGGGAACATGGCGGCACGTGAAAGGACCAAACTCAAATGGGGACACGAGCGGGGTCCTGAACAGACACATCGACATCGTGGGCCCTACCCCTCGTTTTTTTTTATCATAATAAAAATATCTCGCTGGAGCCGAACTTTCACGAGATTATCATAACGACAACAATAATAATAATAATACGTCTCATGTTATAAAAAAAAAAGTTATTATCTTTCTACAATTAAAAATAATAATGTCATGGGAGTGATGATATACAAATCAATCGTGTAACGATACCGGCCATTTTTATTTATATTTTATAAAAAAAAAATCGATACAGAAAGGGCAACGGCTCTTACCAATCTTGTTCATGTGTAAGTAAAGGTTACCGATGCGACATGTTTTGCTGGTAAACAATCTTATCAATATGTTCCAAAGTATATATTTCAAATAAAAATATATTAATATTTAAATATAGAATAGGGTGCGTGGGGGTCCATGATAATCGGTCCATTTTTGTAACGAAGTGGTGCGTCTGTTTGTTTCATCGTCGTTATCGATACGCACTCTCACATTTAAATACGTGGATGCATGCATATATGTATGACGTATGCGTCATGTAATACATACATGCATAACGTCGATTGCGGCTTTTGTAAGGCTCTCCTGTTCGTATCTGCCAAAAAAACACGGCCCAAACCTTTATTTAGAAAATGCTGAAAACTTAAGGTTGCGATTTTTTTTAAAAAAAATATAAAATTAATTGATGACTGTATAATTTGTTAATCTTTTTTCAGCCTAATTATTCATGATAGATAACAGAGGCTGAATTTCCATGACAACTTTTGTTATCCCCATTCCATATATTATGTAAATTTGGGTTTCACTTTTAAAATCCATATTAATTCAGATACGGCTAAAATTTACTTATAAACAAACACACATTTCAAATTCTATCCTGTTTTCTTTCTTTTTTTTTTCTTTTTTTTTGGTTTTGTATATTTTTTTTTCATTTTTTGATATCCAAACGAGATAATATAGCGGCCTGAAGTTTAAATGTCATAGTTTTTTTGCAATTATTATTTGTGAAGTCATTTTTACTCAATGTGATCGAATATTGAGATATTATATTGTTTTTATACCAAAGTTTTAAATATTGAAAGGACCACGGACGTGGAAGTCCATGTGTGGTAAACAAACATACATTATATTTCTAAAACAAGCACAAACTTTGTACAAGAAAGAAATGGGATATTCTTAAGGAGCAATCGATTTTCAGTTACTCTCATAAAATGGAGAAAAAAAAGAATCGTTTTTGACACTTTATATATTATATATTTTAGTTTCATATTTTGAGTTTTATATATATATATATGGATGGATCATTTTATTATTCAAATATCCAAAATAGCCCGAAACCGAAACCCAACCCAATGAGAAGACGAGATCACCCTGTAACAGTTAAAGCTGTGGAGGACGAAACCCTGATTGGTCGTATTAAATTGGTTTCGTCATTTCGGATTCGGTTATTTCAATTTTTAAAAAAAATACAACTATTCAATTTATATATTAATTTTGGTTCGATTTGATTTGATTGTAGGTTCTTTTTTTATGGATAGAAACTCGTTTTTCAATTAAATTTTCTATTATTTTTTTAAATAGCCTAAAAATCACAAAATTAAAAAAAATTATATAAAATTAATGGATTTTATAATTTCTATATAAAAATATGAATTTTATTAATCTTATCATATTTTCTTAAATTCATAAGTTAATGATTTTATATAAAAGCTAAAAAAATAAGTGGGAATATGGTAAGATTTATAAAGTTTATAATTTTATATAAAAATTACAGAGTTCAAGATTTTAAATAAGACTTTTTTTTAAAAAGTTTGTAATTTTTTAGGCTATTGTTCTTTTTTTTATATTCTATTCTGTTTAAATCGAGTTGTTTATTCGATTATTAACAAAATTAATTGTGACACGTATGGTTCCGCTGCTCTTCAAATTTCTTAATAAAATCTCCTGCTCCATTCCTCGCAAATTGTTTGGGCCTCTATAAGTGGGCCGGGCCTTAACTAATATTGCCCTGACATGTTTCATCACGCGCTGGCATCAAATTTTATTATTTATATCCCGTAAGCTAATTACATCATAACAATAAATTAATAATGTTTTTTTTTGGTAAAAGATAAATTAATAATGCTTGATCCGAGTCAGATTTTTTTTAAAAAATTTGGTTTATTTTTACTATATCCCAGTCGTATTAATCTGGATTATGACAATTGTGGATTTGGTCTATCTGGTTTTGTATATGTTACGATATATCACATTGTTTATAAAATAAACAACATATATTATATAAGATCTCTGTAGGTATACAATTAGTCTCTGTAAAACCTGTAATTTCTTATCAACATGCAGTGATTACAAAACCTATATATTAATATCGTAATTAACTAAAAACGTTTGACAAAATGAGAACAATTATATGAGACAAATTGATCATGTTTTATTTTGTTGGAAAAACTTTATCCATGTAAATAATGGGTTTTATATATATATATATATCGCCATTATATAGATGAACCAATACACTTTTTACGTAAAATGTATATATATGTAATGTTATATATATCATCTCTTTTATAAACCAATACATATTTTGTGTAAATTGCATATATATATATGCACACATATATATACACACAGTTCTACCTTTTAAGGATATAGAATAGAGTATGAAAAAGGTTTGATTTCCTCGAAGGAGAATATTCTCCATAGATAAGTGTGTTGGGTGTTTGCTTTTGTTGGGGGCAAAGAAAAACAGAGAATTAAATTCCAAACCTCAAGACAAGAAAGTCAACTTCTTGATGGAGATTGATTAACCAAAATCTATCATGCTTCTTTTGAATCCTTCTCCTAATCTATAGCCGTGATCTAGGGAAAAAAATCTTATATATTAATGCATTTACATATATATATATATATATATATATATATTGACTTTGAATATATTCCATGACTTTAGTTATTTTTATAGCTTCATTGATTAATACTTGCACATTTGAGTCAAGATTGAAAATAGAGAAAACACAAATTTATAGGCACTAAATATTTCGGTTTATTTTTATTTACATTTTTTTATTATGACAGATTTTGGTTTGATTCCGATATTTGTTAAGATTTGGAATGCAAATTAAAAAATATATGAATTTATTTTATTTTTCAGTTAGTTTCGTATTCAATTTAAATTCGTTGACTTTATTAAAAAAAATCACTTTTTAGATAGGATATGTTTTGTGATAATATGTTATTCATTTCCGTTGAATTCGGATTTATGTACCAACCAAAACGTCCGCCCTATTTGAAGTTTTTAAAACTGTCAAAGCTGTAGTATATATGTAAACTCTAACATGGAAGTATATGGATATATATTAACGTTAATATCCGTACGGTAAATATAACCACGATTCTAATCTATGAAATCAGCTCCTGAGATTATAACTCAAATTCACTAAAAAGAATGAGATCGTATTTTGACTGAAATCTAAAAAAAATGTCGAATTTTGACAAAACATATGTAATCTATGCGCTCGTACCTATGTTGCAAGGATCAGACAGGAAAAAATAATTCAGAATAAAAGCCATTTGCTGCAATGATCGCATATATATCCATGTATACGGTGAAACACGTATACATGCATCACCATATACATGTATACATATATATATCAATATATATATGTGTGTGCGCGCGCGTGCGTATGTATACGTATATATATAAAACTCAAGAACTAGCTTTTCTGATCTTTTTGCCGAAATCTTCAAGAACAGACGGAGGAAACATAGATTCGACTTCTCGAGAAACATCGAGAAGACCAAGAGAGCTTCGAAACCACATCGCTCTCCGCTTTGTCGCCGGAGCTGTTTTAGGCTTTCTCGGCGGCGGCGGCGGACGATAAAGGCTAGCGTTCCTCACTTCCACGTCATCCACTTCTGAGTCTCTTCTTCGACGACAAACGAGTATACTCTTCGGGGTCTCGAACCCTTCGCCGGAATATTCTCCCGTCGCCGGCGTCGTCGATACTACGCACTTGTCCGGAATCTGCAAAGGAGCAACCCCACATTCATCCCGTTTCCTTTTTCTTCTCGCTCGATCCACGAACTCTTCGTGTTCTTGCACTTGTCCGAGCCGTTCTTGTTCTTGTCGTTGGCTTTGAAATGTTTTCGAGGGATTTGCTGATACAATTTGATCACGTGGGGATGAATCTGGATCCTGGGTTTCCGAAAGTGTCGTTGAACTTTCTGACTTCATGACTGCGAAATCTTCCTTGGGCAATAAAATCTCAGTGTTTGACATCTTAATTAGAAACAGAAGAAAAATAAAGAAAAATCGGAATAGGGAAGAAATAGAAAAACAAATGACGATCCCAGGAACAGACCACTGAAGACGCCAATATTTATATATATATATATGTGTGTGTGTGTGTGTGTGTGTGTGTGAGAGAGAGAGAGAGAGAGAGAGAGAGAGAGAGAGAGAGAGAGAGAATATCCGTATATATAATATATTATATATATTAGTCGCGTATCTATATATGTGATATAACGATGAATGTATAGATCGCTCTGCATGCGCCCAATAACGCCAACGACAAATATAAGAAGCAAACAAAGGCTGACATATTTAAAAATGTGTATATATATATGCTTACTTTTCTATGTATCTGAAAAAACAGGATGCGATATTTTATACATAAGATTTTTAATATATATGATACCAAAATAAACTTAAAAAATTGCCCTTCGGGGCCAGGTCAGGTGGTAAGGGAGCATGGTGAGCAATCCTGAGGTGGAGGGATCGAATCCCAACATCGCTCTTCCTTACGCTTGACCTGCTCGCCTGTCAGCCCATCCTAATGGGCTGATTTACCTCCTCCGCGTGTGTTGCAGGCTCGTGCGCGTGGGCGGGGGGTTTGACCTGCAGGCGCCTAAGCCCAACTACGGCCCGAGCGTTAGGCGCGTCTGGCGGCCAGGTCCGGCGGACTGAGGTCCATGGGAATTGTTAGGCGCGGGTGGTGGCCAGTTCGACACCGTTTGTAAGGGTAGGTAGTCACAGGGGTTCCCCACGTTAACAAAAAAAAAAACTTAAAAAATGGTAGACGGGACAATATATAGTATAACGGTGTTCGTTTAATTAGAAGGTTGGGCATTGAACTGACGAGTTCAATGTATTCTGCAATTTACAACTGAATATATTTTATGTATATTTATGTGGATAGATGATTACCATTGTATATGTACGTACCTTTCTAATTATATAACATTTTGGGGAGAGGGGATTTGGTCATTTGAGATTGAAATTTGAAATGAAGACCCGCTTCGGCGAGGGATCCAATGCAAACATATATGCATATATGCCCTTCCACATTTATGTGAATACACTACAAAAATACATCGCATATGCGACGGACATATCCGTCGCACCGCGAACACATATCCGTCGCAACAGATATTTTGCGACGGGTCACGACGGGCACAAATACGTCGGTACAGAGCTGTCGCAAATTTGTTTCAGTCGGTTTTACCGTCGCAAAGTTACGACGGACATTTCCGTCGGTATATTACCGACGGATATAAACCGTCGTAGACCGTCGCGTTTATGTTTGTCGCACACTGCGACGGACTTATCCGTAGCAAGTTTCCGACGGCATATATCCGTCGTGTATGTGTCGCTTTATTAATTTTCGAATTTAACGACGGATTACGACGGAGTAGGTCCGTCGCAAACTTTGTAAAAATAATTAAAAAATAAAAAATTTGTTATTAATTTAAAGATTTTAAAAATCAATTATTAAAACAAATTCATAAATAAAAAATACGAATTAATTAAAAACAAAAAAAGATTCATATTTAAAAAAAAAGTATAATACAATAATTTAGAAAGAGTTATAATACAAATACATCTACGGATCTACCGGTGCATCGTTGTCGAGATTGGTGGGTGCGTCCTCTGGATCGTCCTCAGGAGCATCTGGCTGCCGAGATGTCGTCGGAAAGCCATACTGGTCGAATATAGGCGGCATGAACGGTGTGAGGCGCTGCATCATCTCCTCGAAGCGTACGATCCTCGCTTCGGTCTCGGAGAGCTTCTGTAGCTTCTCCCGATGTTGCTCGAACTCTTCGATCTTCGCCCGGGCCTCTGCCAGTTCTGCATTCGTCCGCTCTTGGGAGCGTTTCAACTCTTCCACTTGACGCGTTAGCGCGACATGGTGAGTAATCGCCGGAGCAGAAGTTTCTCCCCCGCCCAGTTGAGATGCCAAGGTGCCGATACCATAGATACGGCCCTTGGCATCCGGATGGACAACCTATACAACGAAAGAAAAATTAGCATACAATCATATATTTTTAAAATTCAGAACTATTAATTTTATAAATATTTACCTCTAGATATAGGCTGTTAACTTCGGTTGTCGAGAGTTGTGTAGAAGCAGAACTCTCGTCCATCTGGGAGACTTTATCGTCGATCTTGGACTGCACCAACTCCTCGATCTCCTGGACCCGCTCATTCACATATGTACCGTCCGATCGACGGTGTGTGTCCTGAAGAACTCGTAGAACCGACGGTTCTACACCTTCTTTTTGAGCCTACAAACAAAATAATTAAAGTTACAAATTTTTTAAATAAATATAATTATAAATATAAAAGTTACTTACTATATCCATTGCGACTCTGGCGAAAGATCTTCTACCCGCGGTATGAGTTGCTGGTGTGTGATCCCCCACAGATCGAGACCGTCGGTTCGCTGAGGCGATCCGACTCTTTTCTGCTGCATCCTCTGAGTCCCAGTGAGCCAGGAGAAGGTTCCAAACACCCTCGCTTATCCACAATGGCTTCTTTCGACTTTGACCCGACCGATAGATCGTATCCCGGAGTCAGTTAGCCAGCACTTCCTTCCAACCAGCATAAACCATATCGTGGTGGCGCTCCTCCCAATAAAAAGCTTGCTGCAATAAAAAAAATTGATGTTAATAAAATAATAAATGAAATTAAAACAATAGTTTGAATTTGAAAACTTACCGCAAATGCACAAAACCAACGCTTCAGAGTCGCTGGAGGGACACGAGTGATACTGAACCAAGGACCCTGAAAATCACTCTTGAAGATGCTCACAATTGTCTTCCGTATCTCGGTATCACAACCGAACCTATGCGAGTATATAAATATACTTAGTTATATAACTGTAAACGTTAATATAAAATTTAGAAATGAATTGTTACAATGTTTCTTACCATAAAGTATCGTTGGTTCGCTCTGGGCTAAGATGCGGTCTCGTCGTACGACGATCCTCGGATGCGAGGATTTCCCTGAGTGATACTGATGAATCACGCGAACAACCTTCATGTGAAGGTTGCTGTGTGGATTGACCCGTGAAAGGTTGATCCAAACGAGCTGTGGGTATTGGGGGCTGCTGAGAAGTAGGGGTAGAAGGGCTAGAAACACCGGATCCTCGTCCGCGAGGTCGGACTCCCCTACCCGATCTACTCCCGGAACGTGACTGACTCATCTACATATAGAAATTCTAAACCCTTTAAACCGTAATATCGCCGACGTAATCCCGTAATTTCGCCGGAAATCGGCCGAAAAATCCGGAAATTTTCGAATTTCGCCGGAAATCGCCTGGGAAATCCGAAAATCCCAAGATTTCGCCGGAAATCGCCCAGGAAATCCGAAAATCCCAAGATTTCGCCGGAAATCGCCCGGAAAATCCGAAAATTTTCGGATTTCGCCGGAAATCGCCCGGGATTTTCGGATTTCGCCGTTTGTTCGCACAAATCCTCAACCCTAAAACATCGTAATTACACCTAAACCCGAACACGGCAGGAAATCGCAGGGAATTTTCGGATTTCCACCGAAAATCGCCCAGAAACCCTAAATTGCACATATTCTCCGAAGCATCAGCAAGGGAGAGAAGGAGAGAGGAAAGACTTACCTCGCGGCGTCGGACAGCTGGGTTGGACGGTGGGTTTCCGGAAATCGCCGGAAATCGGCCGGAACTCGCAGATTTCGGATTTCGTCGAGCGGAGAAGAAAGAAGAGGGTTCGCGTTATGTATTACACATTGCGACGGAACTTAACCGTCGGTACTCGTCGCTAATGTTTGACCACGTGGCCATTAGCGACGTGTACCGACGGTTAAGTTCCGTCGCAAAGGTTCCCAAGCTTCAGCGAATCATCACCAAGGGAGAGAAGGAGAGAGGAAAGACTTACCTCGCGGCGTCGGACAGCTGGGTTGGACGGTGGGTTTCCGGAAATCGCGGAACTCGCAGATTTCGGATTTCGTCGAGCGGAGAAGAAAGAAGAGGGTTCGCGTTATGTATTACACATTGCGACGGAACTTAACCGTCGGTACTCGTCGCTAATGTTTGACCACGTGGCCATTAGCGACGTGTACCGACGGTTAAGTTCCGTCGCAAAGGTTTTTAAAATTTTCAAAAAATTTGCGAAAATTTCAGGAAAAGAGGGCGGAAAATATTAGCGACGAGTACCGACGGATAATGTCCGTCGCAAATTAGAAAAATAAAAATAAAAATAAAAATACACACATTACAAAATTAATGAAATGAAAGATACATTACATAATTAATCAAATGAACCATACGATGATGTTTCCGTTGTTTCGGGATTGGTGTCTTCGCTGCTATCGCCTTCTTCATCGAGGTTTCCAATTTCTAGTTCTTCAACTATCCCTTGCTCCACTGCTAGCCTCTCCACATCAATTATTTCTGCGACTGCTGCAACTGTGTGTTCTTCTTGTAGCGGGCTTTGTTCCACTGATCCATCATATGTAATGGTCCCTCTTGGATTAATCTTGATAACGACCTTCCAATCGATGTCACTTCTTCGCGTTTTATCTCTTGGATAAGGGATAAAACATACCTGATCTGCTTGGGATGCCAGTATAAAAGGATCATATTTTCTATATCGACGGGAGTAACAAATATCAGTGATCCCTGATTTGTTGATCCGTATTCTACGTCCCGGCGTCGGATCAAACCAATCACATCTGAAAATCATCACTTTGAGTCCAATATGACCCGGGTATTGTACTTGGAAAATTTGCTGAAGAATGTCATGGAAATCTGGTTCATCATCCGAAGCACAATAACTCGAGCCTTTCACACATATACCATAATTTGCCGTCGAACGATGTTGTCCATGTTCATATGTATGAAATAAATATCCTCTCGTAGAGAACATTGGCCAACATTTGACCAGCCGAATGAGACCTTGAACTAACTCGTGTAACCACAATGGATGATCTTCTTGCGATGATTCAATCTGTAAAAAACAATCAACCAGCAATTTGGCATGTGGTTAGTGAATACGGATTTCTTTCTCCTTGTTGAAATTCGTTTCGCTGCTCATCGATAATGACTTGATTAACTGCACCATATGAAGACGTCGTGTCCACTGTTTCTCCGTGAGCTAGCCAAACAAAATAATTGGACATGAACCCTCTTCGATATAGATGATTCCACACTTGTTGAATATACTGCCATTTCGTATTTTCACACTTCACACACGGACATGGAAGTTTCGACCCTTCGATATATGACGGTTGAGATGTAACAAACGTCATAAACGCTTGCAATCCTTCTTCAAAATCTTTGCATATTTGATTTGTGTATGGATCTATTCTTTCATACATCCATCTCCTTGCATTGAAAGACATTTTTTTGGGGTTTTTTTTCGTTTGGGGAGGGTTATTTTTCGGTGGGGAGGGTTATTTTTCGGTTGCTTGATGGTGGTGATCTGCGCGGAGTTATATTCTTGATAATTGCGACGGCTATGCGACGAACGTGCGACGGATTTGTTGCGCCGGATACCGACGGACTACCGAACTCACGACGGAATGCGACCGTTTGCGACGGACATTCTGGCAAAAAAAAAAACGTTTCTCACCTAACTATACCTAACTATACGACGGATACGGTGCGTCGTATTTCCGTCGCTAAAAACGACGGAAAGTTACGGAGGATAGTCCGTCGCATAATTCCGTCGGAAGTCCCTCGTTTTCGGTCGCAATAAGTTTGCGACGGAATACTCCGTCACATTCCGTCGTCTTAGGTTGCGACGGAAACCTACGGATTACGTCAGATTGTTTACCGTCTGTATTTCGTCGTTAGCCGTCGTTAATTTTATTGCGACGGACATATCCGTCGCAATGTTCGTCGTAGTTTAGCGCTTTTTTTGTAGTGATATATTATAGTGTACCATGTGTAAGTATATTTATATATGCGCAGTAAGTTATTTTTGTTGAAACTTTAATTAGGGTTTTGACAACACTCTAAATAACTTCAGTTTCAGATTATATTGTTAAACTTTAGGGCTAATTCTATTATTTTTACTCCCGTTTATCCCTTTCTTTTTTGTAAATTATTTGTTCATTCTAAAAAATTTACAGTAAAAACCTTTATTTTGGTACAAACATCTAAAAGTTGAAAGAAGAACACTAATATAGGGTAAATATATATATAAACCTTGGTTTGCAATATATATATATATATATATATATATATATATATTCATGGTTAATGCTGATAATTTTGTTCTTAATACATGTTTTAAATCATCTTTTGATGCATCTGATCACGTGATTTACAGCGAAGGTAGCATGCCTTGAGCATATACTGTAATCTCCCCATCCTTTTTGATCTTTATAGTCACCTTTTCATCGTGATCTTAGCTAAGCTTTCATGTGATCCCAAACTAATCTTTTTCAAAAAAAATAATGAATAATACTCTGAGATCCCCTCGTATATGCAAAAAGATACACTTGTGACCATGTTTTTGCATATATATATATATATATATACACGTGCGCGTGTGTGAGTAAAACGAGAGATCATGAATTTCGCCATATATGGCAGAATGTATCCCCTTTGTGAGACGTAAATGAGATTTTTGTTTATCACCATGCAATATTCCGATATATATATACACATTGAGAAAGTACGTGCAAATATTCGTTTGAATTTTAATACATATACCGACTTATTTTAAGTATAGGAAAACATTAAAAATGAATTAATTAAACCCATTTTACTTGATATTGATATTATGTAATCCAATTGTTGGCACCGTTCGTTTCAAATCTATTTAACAAAAAAAAAAAAACTCTAGCATTTTGTTTTTATATTATACATGCATGTCAAGAGATTTAGTATATATCTTATAAGAGATAACAGATAAAATCTACCAACGACGTGACGTTTGGAATTTTTATTTTTTGAAGACAGTTTGAAAAAAATATTTATTAGGAAGATTATTGAGACAATGATTATGGAAATAATAATAACAATAATAGTGGAGGCTGAGAGATTTCCACCACGCCGATGTGCTTAGGTTGTCCCCTCATTGGATTGCTTGGGTTTCATCGCATCCTAAGTATCTTTTCTTTCCATATTTTCATTTTCATTGTCGTTAAAATTTAACCTTATTAAATTATTACGGAAAAAAAAAACACTCTCTAACATGACACACTATATCGGTGTTCCCTAGAAACATCGAAATCTTTGAATAAAATAAATAAAATAGAGCTATATTTTAAAAGTGGATATATATTGTATATTTCATAATATCTTATCAATATATGTGCACACATAAAATGGCTAAAAGAGGAACAATTTAAATCAAAATTCGAATAATATAAAGTGCATATATATATATATTGATAATTTAGTAATGTAAGAATAATAAGTGT